AGCCTCTGCCCCGGGCCCGGCCCTGCCCCGGCCAGCGCAGCTCCACCTCTGGCGCCGCTGTCGCGAATTTCAGCCCGTCTTGGAAGAGAAGAGAGAGCAAAGAGCTCGTCTGCAGGAGTGGGAGTAGGGCAGGGGAAAAGACTGATGGGAAGGATGGCAGCAGCTGGGTTCTCGGTGTCTTGCCTCTGTCGTTTGGAATTTAGGCAGCGCTGAGGGGCGTGGCAAGACAGGCTTTCTGTTTGTTGTTTCCTGCTGGGGTGCTTTTCTCCTCAGAGCAAGGACCTAGTGGTACCACGATGGCTTGTGGGCATTCAGGAGATGTTAACAGCCATTCACATGATGACTACATGAGTGATCACTTTGGCCATCAGTTATCCCCATTCTGCAACATCTGGAAAGAGTTACAGGCTCGTGGAGCTCCCTTTCAGACACTGGCACATCGAGATGCAACCAGTTCTGCATGTCTTGGGGCCCCAAACATCCCACATCATATTCTATAAAAATTAGGTCTGACTTACACTAGTCTTCCCTGCATTTGTTGATCTTCATCAACTTTTTGACCTGCTGGTGAGAAGTTTTGCAGAGAAGCCATGCTGTGTTTTAACATCATGTGGAGGCAGGGTCATACCATCCACTAAAGCAGACAACTCAGGTGCCCTGACCTTTGTAGGCAGATGCTTACCTGGGTTGGAAATAACAAATTTGTTTGGAAGGTTAAGACAAAAAGAGCTTTGCAGTCATTTGGTACTGCATAGCATCAATACTGAGCAGGGGACGTGCAGAGCTGGTCAGTTGATTATGTTCTTGGCCCTGACTCCACTTTTGGCTGTACCAGTGTCCCAACAGAAAAAAGAACAGAAAGATTTTCTCAGAAAATTCCTCCAGGCTGTCCTGTTTCCTTTTCCCTTTCATGTGCCACAGTCAAACATCAAGGGTGGTGAATTGAGCCTTGAACTGTTGGTTGGTTTAGCTGTGGAAGGGTTCCATGGTTAAGAATAGAACAAGGGCCTTAATGGCAGCATTTAAATGTGCAGGCAAAAATAGCTTCCATGCTATTATATCTTGCAAAGACTCTGAGATGCTTTCTTTTATCTCGTGGCAGTGCTGCTCCAACAGTCAGCCCTCTTTTCCCAGTCTGGCTTGTACTAAGTTGTTTTTTTGAGGAGGAAAATGACAGGATAGGCTATTTCCAGCTTTGGGGCATACAGTCCCTGATGGACCCAATGCAGCAGATCAAGTGGGGGGTTGTTTGGTTAAACCACATCTGCTGGAGGTCAGTAAGCAGACAGAACCCCCTGAGGCTCTGTTAACTGTTGCTTGGTCCCTTTCAGGGGAAGCTGACAGCAAGGGAACGGATTCTTCTTCTGCTGGACCCTGACAGTTTTGAGGAATATGACATGTTTGTGGAACACAGGTGCTCTGACTTTGGGATGGATTCTAGTAAGAATAAGGTAGCTCTATTTCATATAATGCTTATTTCTTTGCCCTCTGCTGTTTAGCCAGCCATCTGGTTAAAAATAGGCTCTTCTGTTCACATGTAATGTCTTTTGTTTTCTTTTTTTTTCTGTTTGTTTTGCAGATTTCCTTTTATTACTCTCAGATTCCATTTGACAGCTTACATGGTTTACTTTTCCTTTGTCTAAACTTGATACCTTTTTTATAAGGTCATCTGTTTGATTCAAATACCTCCCTGGATATTGTCTTAGATTTGAATCTTAAATAACAGAGGAGGCTGCAGAGCTTATAACTTTGTCAATAAAGTCACACATGAAGAACAGGTATGGGTAGATACTTCTGACTCCCTTACATAGGTAATGTGAGAGTCTTTTGTTGCCATTTAATGCAACAAACACCCTGGGATGTGCTGGTGGCTCGTGCAGATGTGCCAGTTTGGTGTGAACCTCCTGTAGCAGAGGGCCCTGTTTCCTGAGGAGTGTTGTGGGGTGAGGGGCTGCTCTGTATCTGCCACTTCTCTGTGCTGCATACAGTGTTTATCTGGTTATTAAACCAGTTTATCAGTTTTCAGCCCTTCAAGCTGCAGGGCTGCATCCTGTGGCCAAGGGAGATCAGCAGCTCCCACCAGGAGCATCTGGGGCACTGGGAACCAGCAAAAGCAAATGATTTTGGTTTTTGGTTTTGTAGCTAGGGGACTGGTGGGACTTCCTGATGGGAAGGGTGTTGTGCTAGACCTTCTTGGCTCTCAATGGGTGTGGGAGCAAACATCTTTTCTCAGTAATTCTTTACTCAGTTCCCTAGCAAGCTGAACAAACTGCTGTGTTGCCTCTCCTCATACTCCTCAACACTGCATCCCACAGTGCTGATAACAAATGGCTGTTGCTTAAAACAGGAGTAGTGAAGTCCTGAGAGTGACAAGAGGGTTAATTTTTTCCTTGCCCTTCAGAACTCACCTTTCAGTGAGCTGCAGGTTGTGTTTACAGAGCACAGTTTGGTCCCAGATGACCTAGCTGTGGCCAGGGAGCTGGAGCAGGGTTAGCATGAGGTTCCTGGAACTTTCTGAATGTAGGGTAAGACCTGCACTCACACCCAGCCCACTGTGCTTGGGCTTCTAGGAGTCACCTGCACGAGACTGGCTGGAAGTAGAGGTGTGTCTCCTGCTGTTCTCTGTGCCAGGCCCAGGAGCTGGTAGCCATGCTGTCTCTGCAGCCTGAGGAAAGTCCCCAGACCAGTATGACCTTCCTGAGAACAGATCACCTTGAGCATCAGTGGGCCCTGCATGATATACTCTTCCTTTTCTTCTTTTTTTTTAATAGCAAAAAGCATTTCAATGCCTGGAATTCCTTTATTGCAGCCCAGCAAAGATCCTTTTCTACTGTTTTGAAAGGAGTCTGAGTGTTTTCTTTACTACAAAGTGAGATAACACAGATAGATTTTAAGATTCCCAGACTCTATATCCTCTCCCAGCTCCTTCTTCTTCCCTTATTTACAGGGTGAGAAAAGGTCAGGTGAAGTTGGAATATTTGAGGTGACTCTAATTACATTTTTTTGACCTTTCCAGAGTTGTTTTTTTTCCCCCTGTATCAACACCTGAAGAAAGGTTTGTTTGCTGTGTCCATTCTTCAAAAAACATTCAGGGGTTCCTAATAAAAGCTAGATCCTGTCTCCAAGGGCACGATTTGCCTTAAGAGCAGATGTGCTAAAATTTGAAGAGAAAGTGGAAAATTCCCTCATCTTTGCATTAATACCTAAATGTGCTACTGCCTCTGGTTTTCCTTCCCAGGAATGGGGAAATCCTTGCGGAGCCCCCCCTGCAAACAGCACAGACTGGCTCCTGCAGACTCAGTCTTTGCTCTGACTGAGTCAGTATAAGCTTGTGAGTTTTTTTTTTTAGTGGATGCCATTGCTGCTTTGGATTTTTAATGATTATTTTTAATGGATGTGTTTGGTTTTTCACCCAGTACCCTGGGGACAGCGTGGTGACCGGCCGCGGGAGGATTAACGGGAGGCTGGCGTATGTCTTCAGCCAGGTATGGTTTTGTGGTTGGTTTTTGAGTAGAATGAAATAAATTCACAGTAGTTCATGGTGACCATGTAGTCATGTCACTGTTTACCTTCTACCAGTGAGCATAAGGTGGGCATAACGTCCTGTGGGAGGAAGCAGGGCACTTTTGGGCAAGATTTAGGAAAAAAAGCGTCTCTACGAACTGTTGGGTGAGGGATTTGCCTTAAAGAGTGAAGAATACACAGCCAGTGGGAATGTTTTGAAAAAATAAACTAATTACTTCAATGTAATATCATTGGATGTTGATGTGCTGAGAGAGTGGAGGAGTCAAAAACCACGTTTGTGATCACCAAGAAGTGAATTATTGGAGGTGTCACTGAGCACCGTGCTTAAAGCAAGGGGAAGCTTTGGCTGTGTCCCTGCAGCTAGAGTGAAGAATACACAGCCAGTGGGAATGTTTTGAAAAAATAAACTAATTACTTCAATGTAATATCATTGGATGTTGATGTGCTGAGAGAGTGGAGGAGTCAAAAACCACGTTTGTGATCACCAAGAAGTGAATTATTGGAGGTGTCACTGAGCACCGTGCTTAAAGCAAGGGGAAGCTTTGGCTGTGTCCCTGCAGCTGGGTGTGTGTGGAGAGCTGTGAGTGCCAGTGCAGGGCTTTGTGAGTCCTGGGCACCATCTTCTGGGTTTCAGGCTGCAGAGTGGGGGCTGCTTGCTGGAGATGCCAGCTGGAATTGCAGTGAGTGGAATTCATGACAGAGGGCACTTGAGCAACCTTGAATTGTTTCTCAGGTTCAAGCTCTCTGATGAGTTGAAGGGATTGTGACAGCATATAAATAGATAGAGAAAATATACTTTGTATGTTAAAATATACTTTTTATGTTAAAACAAAAATATTTTCAAGGAAACACCATAGGCAGAGATTTATCTGGGTTAGTCTTAACCCTGTGAAAGAAAGGCTTTCTTTCACATCCTTGGTAACAGTTTCTCTGTTCTGGGCCACAAAGTAGCTTTTGTTCAGTTTGCTATCATGGCCAAAATGATTGTTGCTGTGTGACCTCGGAGCAAGTCCTACACCCTGCCTTTTTTTGTCTTGGGTATGTAGTTTTTCCAAGGAAGGACACTGTTATGTGGGCCTGAATGTAAGATGGGAGCCAAACACAGGCCTCAATTATAGAAAACCACAAGTTCTTATATTAAAAAATAACTACTTATATTAAAAAATATAGTTCAAGTATAAAAAATACAGACAGTTCTTATATTAAAAAATTTAACTGTGCCCCTTCATGAGACACCTCTCATTTTTATATTTAAATTTAAAGACCTTTCTCCCTTCCAAACTGAGCTACCAGCTGAGATGTCTCTTCCTTCTAGTCATAGTCATGCTGTTCCCTGTCCACACAGTTCTTAAAGCTTCTTTGAAAGTAAGACCTGCTGGGAATTCATCAGAGGAACCCACCAGAGGTTGGCTCTGGGCTCTGTTGGTGCCAGTAGGTGCCAATGTCCTGTTTTGCTTGCAGTGGGACCCTCCTCAGGGGTGAAACTCCTTCAGCATGGATAATGTCAGTGAAAGAGAGAATGGTTCTGTGCAGGAAGGAAAGAGTAAATGAGACCTAGTAAGTTTGTGATTTTAACATGGAATCCACTGGCAAATGCATATAAAAGATCTTTTGGGTTGATCCAGACTGATCTTCAGGCTGCACTAAGGGAATCAGGTAGTTCTGGAGCTGCATACCCAGTACAGAGCATTGTAGGATTATCCTATTTACCTGCAACATTTTACAGCATTTCACTGAAGTGATTCTCTCCCTAACCTGAAAATTTGTTTTCCCTCTCTCCAGGATTTTACTGTATTTGGAGGCAGTTTATCTGGAGCTCATGCCCAGAAGATCTGCAAGGTAACATTTCACAGGAGAAAAGGAACAAAACAATTCAGTGTTCTTTTTTCAATCTGTTGTGTTAATGACTTCAGAGACAATTATTTCTGACTGACTTCAGTGGACTCTGGCATGTGTTGTGGCAACCTGAAAATGTCTTCATGCCAAAGTGTGAGAGCAGGGGGGAGCAGAGAGGTACCCTTTGAAGCTTTTCAAGTATAAGAGAGCTTTTCCAAGTAATACACAATTTGTTTTAATTAAGTTGCCTTTTCTACTCTGCCACAAAAGATAAGAGAGGCTTGCAAAGTACAAATAAAAATTAACTGGCTGTTGTCTGCTGGAGAAATGTGAAATGTGTTGGGAGAAGCTTTTTCCTGTAAACAGTGCTCTGTGGAAGTGTGTAATCTTTATAAAAAGCAAAAGTAGCAAGTAAACAATTTGAAGATAAACAGTTTTTACAACTTGGAGGTCACCTTGATACTCAGAACTTCTGTTATCAGACACTTGGGGCTATTTTTTCTCCTTTGTCTCACTGGAAAAGCTGATGTTTGAACCCCAGGGACTGGGAGGACAAGGACTTTTTCATGCATGAGTGTTCAGTGGTGGGGGCTGGAGAAAATTTCCTGAATTTTCTTGCAGTGGAATTAGAAAGAAGGTTTTTGGTGTGCAAGGCCTTTCCTCCTGCTGGAAAGAACTGCTTTGTGGCATAAGCTCCTCAGCAGTGATGAGGTATCAAACAAGAAAGCACAAAGACTTTGGGCTGGAAAATAAGCACTTGGCTTCAGTAGGTCTTGACAGTGGAGCTTTGCAGTGTCTCTGTGTTGGGGAGGGATGTCATGGTGCTGGAACACTGTCATGCTTTCTGCTGGGGTTTCTTTTCTCTTATTTCTGAGGAAGCAGAGAGAGTGCAGGTAGCAGTCAGTGTCTCTGTGTTGGGGAGGGATGTCATGGTGCTGGAACACTGTCATGCTTTCTGCTGGGGTTTGTTTTCAAAGGAAATTTTGTTTTCTGAGGAAGCAGAGAGAGTGCTGGTAGCAGTAGAAGGAAATGTGAGTTGTTCCTAGTGCTACTGTTCTTGGGTGGCATCAGTGTCAGTGGTAGGCTCCAAAGTGTGAAAGCTCTGGGTGCATCAACTGCTCTGGGGCTCAGAGACTTTGAGGCTGCAGCCTGGACAGGAGAGAGGTCAAAACAGATTGTTGAGTAGTGTGGTACCTGTCTCACTTCTCTGCAGTTGTCCTCCTTGGGCTGAGCTCTGGGAAGCAGAAAGACAGAGACAGTCCTGCCCCCTGCAAACTATCAGTGGCTTAAGGGATGTTAGATGTGAAAGTGTAATACACAGCATGTAAAATGATGAACATGAAGTGTAGTTGTTGTCTCCTGGCTGGCCTTGCCTGGAGATCTACCCCTTTGGTGGTAACCATCTCCCATTTGGGATTTTTTCCTGCAGCTAGGTACCAATCTGGCATCTGGCAGCAAAGCTCCAAGTTAGGGAGGTCTGGGCTACATGAGATGAAAAAAAAACTGTTTTTGAGAATAAATCCTGAAATGTTTAATACAAATACTGCTATGACAAACACTCAGACAGGACTGGGGTTTTAAAAATCATAATAAGTTAAAGGTTGTCTGAAATAAGGTATAATTCTGTAACAGTGATTGGAAGGGGTGATGCCAGGCAGGGAAAAATGACTTTGAAACTCAAAATGTGACTGACTGACAACAGGTGGTTTTAGAGAAAATGATGTAAAGAGCTAAAACAGATCTTAAGGTTAATGCAGATCTTAATGTAAGTTAAGTAAGCACTTAATGCAAGTGCTGTAGTGTTATGAAAGGGCAAATATTTTCCTGGGCTCTAGGAAGCAGGAATATTTAATGTAAGGAATGCAAGGAACTCAATCCTCCCACTTAAGTCTCTGCTGGAGTGTTGTGTTTGATCTTGAAGCAAGTAACCAAAATGATCAGAGGGACAGAAAATAGGATGTAGAAAGAACAGTGGGACTGAATTGTTGGTGCTTGGTTCTAGAAACACAGAGGGAAATATGAAGACTGAAGGAAGATTTGAGGTACTTGAATGTTTATGAAGGCAGAGACAGAAGCAGTTAATTGCTCTTTCTGTCCCCTGTATATCAAGAGAGAAGTAATGTCTCCAAATTTCTGGAGGAGAGATTTGCTTTAGTCTTCTCAAAGAACTTGTAAGAAGGATAATCAAGCATTAGAGTACACTGCTTAGGGAGATTGCACAGCCACCACTGCAGTAAACTTCTAAGCTCAGATTAGACATGTGAAGGAGTGTTTAAGGTGAGGTGAGACCCTTTCTGAACAGAGAGGGATTGGTTCTCTCTGGTTGTGTCACTTAGCACAGGGTTGGGATAATGCAGGGCGAGTATGGAGGTGCAGCTAGTAAGGCAGATAAATATTAAAGGTGATGAGAGGGATTAAATGTGTATCTTTTAGCCTCTGGTCTGAATGAATCAAATCCTGATACCCCAGTCAGCAGCCAGTGCCTGGGACAGTGCCAATAAAGGAGAAGCTGAGCATTCTGGCATGTATGGATTTGTTTCTAGGGGATGTCCATCTTGGGGTTGGTTGCTTTGGGATTTTAGCTTAGATGGGTCAGTAATGGGGAGTCTGGATTCATCCCCAGGTCATGGATCAGGCTGCCATGGTTGGAGCCCCTGTGATTGGGCTGAATGACTCTGGAGGAGCCCGTATCCAGGAGGGAGTGGAGTCCTTGGCAGGCTATGCAGACATATTTTTGGTAAGTAGGCTGCTGGATGAGCCAGGAAACTTCACATCCACAAGGAGGGACAGAATCTTTCATTACTTAAGTCGTTGTTTGTCAGTAAACTTTTAGGTTATCATCATCCTGTTTCAGCCAGTGTTAGCTGGTGGGTAGGGCAGAGTATGTGAGTGCTGTGAGACCTGGACTGTCCTCTTGCTTCTCTTCTGGGCTTTGGGAAAATCACCATGCTGCTTAGTTCCACTTACCCTTCTGTTACACACAGGCAAAGCTGAGCCTTGTAAAACACTGTGAGCCAATGCAAACCTCTGTAGGAACTGCACTGTATAATGAACTTGGCCATGAGAATGAAGGAACAGGCAATTTACTTCATTGGAAGATCCCCCCAAACACTATTTAACTTTCTGATTTACACTGAAGTGTAGCTGGCCTGTGTTGGGATGTAATTTCTCTCCAGTGTTAATCTGTTTGGGACAGGTGGGCATACCACAGTTCAGAGTGTTTTGTTAGGTGGCTGGTGGTTGTGCTCCACCACCAGCTGTCCCATGTCTCCTCTGAACACAGACCTGTCAGGAACCTCACACAGCAGATTTGGTTCAAAGATTTCCACTGCAGCCAGAGGGACTTAAAGTAAACCATAGAATCATTAAGGTTGGAAAAGACCTCAAGATCAAGTCCAACCATCACCCAATGCTACCATGGCCCCAGGTGCCACATCTACATGTTTTTTGGACACCTCCCAGGGATGGTGACTCCACCACCTCCCTGGGCAGCCTGTCCAATGCCTCACATGCCTCAAATCAAACACTATGCACTTGAAGAAAACTTCAGCAACTTGGATCAGATGCATCTGTTCTGTTGAGATGGTAGCTCAGTGTGGGAGAAACCCAAAAGATGCAGGTCAGCCTTCTGTTCAAAGAGCAGTGTGCAGTACAGTGTTAACCTTACCATTTGGGAATACCCACTACTGATTGGACTGGAGAAAGTTTTATGTTAATTCACCCTTGTGCAGAACTCAAGCCAGTGAAGGAATCTGTTTTTAAGAGTATCTGCCACAGGTGGTGGGTAGAACTTGTGCCTCTGAGCCACAGTGTGTTGTATGTCAGGTTCCAGGTACACACACTTCTTACCACTCCAGCCTCCCTGATGATTTTGCTCCTGCAGCTTCTGTTGAGGTTGCAGTTCCATCTTCCTTTGCAGTCATTGCATGGTATGTGGAATAAAATGTGTGGGAAAGACTCAAAAGAAAGACTCAGACAGAAGCAACATCATTATTTTAGTTCTATTTGCATCAAGACTTTCTCTCCAGATATTTGTCTCTCAGTAAATAAAACGAGCTGTCCTCTCTTGTTTGTGACTGTGAATTCTTGCAGCATATCTGCACAGACATAAAGATGCACTTTTTGGGTAAAATAAGATGTCTTTTTTTTTTCTCTTGCAGAGAAATGTTCTGTGTTCTGGGGTAGTTCCACAGATCTCCCTCATCATGGGTCCTTGTGCTGGTGGAGCTGTGTATTCACCTGCTCTGACTGATTTCACTTTCATGGTGAAGGTGAGGCTGCTCACACCCTGACCTGCTGCTGGGACCATTCACCAGGCACAAACTGACCCCACATGACAGGGTTTTTTTTTTGAGATGGTCTCCTGCTTTGGATTAAGCTTATTTTTGATGCAAACTCAAGGAAAACTTTCCCTTATAACTTGTGGAGAGTTGCACTCCTGGTGGATTTTTAACAGAATGCCATAAGGATTTCTAAGAAATTTGGCACTATGTTCTATTGTTTTCTTATGTGGGGGAAAGTCTCTAGAGACTGTGGGTTTTCCTGAGGTGTTTTTTGCATCTGAGGTCCATCATTTGTTGTCTTTCTTGCTTTTTTCTGTTCCCCAGGACACATCCTATCTGTTCATCACTGGCCCAGATGTAGTAAAGTCTGTGACCAATGAAGACGTCACTCAGGAGCAGCTTGGGGGGGCAAAGACACACACTACAGTGTCTGGTGAGAGCTGGGCAGCTTACCTGACACACCAATGGCTCTTCAAAGCCAGTGTTCATGCTAAAGAGCTCATTGTCTAATGCAGATTTGGAGTGTCACTGGGGTCTAAGTGCTAGAACTCTGCCTGAGCACAAGGTCTTAGTGCAGAGGTCTCTTGTCAGTCCTCTTTAGTAATGAGAAACAAGAGGGAAAGTGGGAATGTGGGAGAGTTCTGGGGTTTGGAAGAGAAAGTAGCAAACTGACAGAAGATCCCTGAAGTGGGAAGACTGTTGGGAGGGCAGGGCTTGCTGGGGTGCTTGTGGGTTTTTGGTTTGTTGTCCAGAAAGTTGCATGGGTTGAAAGGTTCTTAACAGTTCCTTGGTTGCTTACTAACGTGACTGATTGAACTGCTGGACTATAAGCTGAGTGGCAATGTGAGATGAAGCATTTTTGGTTGGTTGGTTGGGTTTTTTTTTGTCCTGTCTGGGAAAACTTGGTGCCTCATGAATCTTCTTGAGGCTCAGAATGACTGCTGTGGGTTCTCAAATTCTGTGTGAACTGAACTGGTGATGAACCAAACCACACGCACGGGCTCTGCTCAGGGCCAGCCTTTAGCAAAGAGCTTGGGGTCCAGAGCTTGAGTGGGGCACAGGATCCTGGGTTGAATTCCATCAGGCTGGGACCCAGCTGGGGCTGTGACAGCTGATAAACCCATTTACATTATTTTAAACATGAGATCAACAATCCAGACCTGTTAAGGAGGAAGTCTGATACAGCCACACATTCTCTAGATATTTTTAGCTGGTTAAGTTTGGTGGCTTAAGACTCCCAATTGTCAATAGCTCAGGTTTAAAACTTCTTGCTGTTAGTTCTTTGTAACTTTATAAGGTGAGACCTTGCAAAATGATTTCAGTAACTGCTTAACTGTCTGTCTCCAGGGGTTGCACACAGAGCCTTTGAGAACGACATAGATGCTTTACTTCACCTCAGAGAGTTCTTCAATTATTTACCTCTCAGCAACAGAGATCCAGCCCCAGTCTGTGAGTGCCATGACCCCAGGTAAGAGGAGTCCAGCTGAGCTCTGTGGGCTCTGTGCACTGAATTTGGTGGCCTCTCTGGCTCAGGGAGTGTAGAGGGAGGAGTGTTGTGTGCCTGGGGTCCTGGCTGACAGTTCTGCCCTGCAGTGTGACTATGGGGAGTGTTTCAACACAATTCTGTTACATACATGCTCAGTATTAATTTCTTAAAATTATTTTCTGAAAGCACTGATCTGCAGACCTCGTGCAGAATATGGGGAAAAGTCCTGTCACAGCACCTTGGAACAAGTGGGGCAGAAGATAGAGTGGACAGGAGTGGGGAGAGCTTGCCCTGCTTTGCTGTGTCTGTTGGTTAAGGTGGGGAAGCCAGGAGGAGGTGAAGGAGGCAGGAAGCTTTATGTATTAGGTACTTGTCTGTCAGACTCATTGTGTAGTTGGCACCCTGACAAAGGAAGGACTTGAGTCATTTCAAGAGGGGGAGATCAGTGACTGTCTGGCCTGTTATCAGAGAACTTTCCCAAGAGCCAGCACGGGCCTGTTTGAGTAGCAGAGTTAAGGACAGAGGATGTCAGTGCAGTAAAAGCATTTTGAGCTGACATCCAGCTGCACCCCAGTTCAACCCTTTCTGTAGGGAACCCATAAGAGGCTGTCACCTTCCCCCAGTGGGAGCTGTACCTTAATTTATTCCTTTCAGGTCTACAGATGTGTGTGATAGTGTGGTCTTCACACACAGGAGGAATTTAAGATGTGAGTTGGCAACATTATCATCTCTTGATGCTTCACTGTTCTTTGTAATGCCTTTGAAACAGTTAGTTTGTTTAGAGAGGGTTTTTTTGGGTGGATTTTACAGATCAGTGCTCTGATACCTGAAATACATTGTTTGCTTTAGAGGAAGTTTGCCAGCTGCTTGTAGAGTGGTCAGACAGCTCCAGTAGTTACTGGTGGTCATTTTTTCTAAGATGTTGATCTTCAGGAGTTTGTTACACTGGGAGACTGTTACAGTTGGACAAACTAAAGCAAAACTATTATTTGGTAAAGATGGGGGATTATCTCTGAGGTTTTTGTGTTCTTTTAAGCATTCTACAAGTTGTGGAGGGATAATTACCTCTGTAGACTTGAATGTGGTATTTTAATTTCATTATAGAAATAACAGTCTATATTTTTTCTTAGTGTGTCTTCCAACAGGCAGTTTATCTTCTAGTGAGAAGCTCTCAGTTGTGTTGTAGCTACTAATGTAGAAGGGATTAGTTCTTTATTTTGTTAAGGAGACAGTCTTTCTGTGGCACCACATACATTATCAGAGAATCACAGGATAATAAATGCTCAGTAATTTGTACTAAGAACTTTGGCTTAGTAGTCTTTGTACATGTGAAGACACATCTACTTTTTAAATTTGCCTGGGTTTATAGCAGCATCTCCAATATTTCTCCAATTTGTGGCCTTTGGTTATAGTTCATCTGGACATACTGACATCTTAATAGACTCCTTTTGCTTCAAAGTGATGTGTTTGATCCTCACTGATGTCAAAGCCCATCCCCCCTGAGTAATTTCTTCCTTATTGCATCATCTTCATGCTACAAAAAAATTGCCATGAATAAACAAACTAAATGGGATTTTTTACCTTTATCTGTCTTTGACTATAAGCAAATTTCATTTCCTCTGAAGCCTGAAGTCTGTGTATGAATTTCTGGAGGAGGTTGGTAACCAGTTTCCCTTCTCCACTGACTGAAGACCAGGCTGAGTCTGGGTGACTGTCTCCAGCTGTTGCACCTCAGGTGGTGCCTTTGATGCTGAGCAGCAGTTCCTGTGTGATAAGTGGGATCTGTAAGAGCCACACTTCTCAGCCTTGTAGGTCCAGTGACTCTCCTGGCAAGCTCCAGATGGCCTTTATCTCTGAGGATTTGAAGGAGGGTTTCAGACTTGTGGTATCCTGGCTACTATCTTCACTCTGATGGTTGTTCCTTATTTTAATGCTGTTACAATGGCCCTCAGGACTCTGCAGCACTGTGAATTTATAGGAGCAATACTTTAATTTTTCCACTTCCCTTATTCTTTGGGGTGCCACAAGCACAGAACTTAGAGGACATTCATATCTGCTTTATGGACAAGAAAAGGTTTTAGGATCTTTTTGTAGTTTGAGGTGTAGTCTGTTGAAATCGGTTCCTTTCATCAGATCAAGGTTGTGTTGTACCATTTTATGAAAATATGCAATACTCTCAATCCCATGGCAAAAAGACTTGAAGTGTTGCTGTCAGTTTTATTCTATTAATAGGTGGATCTCTTAACCTCTCAGCAAGGAGCTGTGCCTCTAGTCCTGTGTGTGTGAGGGAACACAGAGACAGCATTAGCAGGTTTTGTTTGAGTTTGACAGGCTGCAGATCACTTCCTGCAGTTCCAACGGGGTGTCTAGAGCCTGGTGTAGCCTTGTTTTAAAGGTGCCAAATCACAGCACTGTTGAAATGGTAATGCAGTAAGAACTCCACACAAACACCATGTAGAACAAATCTAGATCGGTGTTTTTAGGGAGTAGCACAACCACAGTACCCCCTGAGGCTGCCTGAGTGGTGAGTCCCCCTCATGGGGACTGCAGAGGACTCCAGGACCCAGTGAGTGCTAATTAATGAAGGTTCCTAATGAAGCTAACACCAGCAAAGATGGCAGTGACTGGGAGTAGTGCCAGCTGCCAGCAGGGGGGCAGAATTCACCTGGAATAAAACCCCACCTGAAGTGCTAAGGAGAGCAGCAGCTCTTCAAAGGCAGCCACTGAGCTGAGGAGCTGGGAGGGCTCCCCTGGCACTGCCCAGGCCCTGCTGGGCTCCTCTGCCCAGGGAGGAGCAGCAGTGGTCCAGGAGATGGGGCCCTGAGCAGAGAGGGCTCCTGCCAGCAGAGAGCCCTCAGGCTTCTGTCCTGCTGGTGTGTGTGGCCTGAGCCACAGCTCCTTGAGAGGAAGAGGCCCCTGAGATGGGGCCCTGAGCAGAGAGGGCTCCTGCCAGCAGAGAGCCCTCAGGCTTCTGTCCTCCTGGTGTGTGAGGGCTTGGTGGCCTAAGCCACAGCTCCTTGAGAGGAGGAGGCCCCTTTCTTCTCCCCATATTTGAGAAGCAGCTTCCATGAAGCCTTAGAGAGGTGGAGTTTCTTCCCCAAGTCCTTCTGCTCTCTACACATGGTTTGCTCCCAGCTACTTGCTCTCTGCAGCGACCGCCCGGTTCCTGAGCTGGACACTGTGGTCCCACCTGAATCCACCAAGGCCTACGACATGCTGGACATCATACACTCAGTAAGTCTGTGACACCAACGTGTGCTGGCTGTAGATCATGGAAAGAAACCAGTACCATGGTGCTGGGGATTTATTTACTTATTTTTTAAGTCTTCAAGTTCTTATTTTTACCTGTGCAGCAGCCATCAAGGAAGGGACAACAAAAAAATGTGGAAAAAAAAACATATTAGCACATGAAAAGAGCTGTAAGATTTATTTTCAGGAGACATTTTCTTAGGCTGCATGCACAGCTGTGCAGGTGAAAGATGCTGTAGCTCCATTTTCTCTCTGCAGTTGAAATCCCTTCCCCTTTGACTCCAGTTCTATCACTTTTCCCCCTCCCTACACCTCATTATTACTGCCTTGAACTCTGTCACTTTTTATGGAAGGTAAAGTACACAGAGATCAAAGATTTCCCCTCCTCTGTTTGTTCTAAAAGACAGTTATGCACATGGACAGTGCAAGAATTTTTCTTTTTTAATTACAAGTCAAGCACTCAGAAGCTTGGAAACTCCAAAATTTCATTAGGTGAGGTCAATCTGCTGGGTGGGTGACAGAAGGAAACATCTTATTATTGCAATATATAACCAGTGGAGGTGTTATTCAAGCACTGTGGGCAGTGCTGGTGGGTCTCTTGCCTCACCTTGCCTACTTCACTGTTCCAGTTTTAACACCTTAGTACATTCTAAGTGCTTGGGCAGAGAACGTGGTTGTAAAAGGAGTTTTATCCCATGGAGCTGTTGCAGGGCCCTGCAGAGCACTCTCATGGTCCAAATTTTGCATGCTAAAATCTCCAGCTCCTGCTTCTAGCACTCAGTGCAGAAAGCAAGCTCAGGGTGTTCTTAACCCCTGGATTCTTCCAGTCTGCATTTCAGCACTACCTTTCCAAGTTAAAAGGTGACATTTAAGACAAAATTCTTCAGAGAATTAGGAAAGAAACCCCAAAACCTCCCACAAACTTTGAGCAGTATTAAGGAAAGAAATAAAACTACTTTAAAGAGTCATGAAGAGTTGAAAAGAAGGAATTCTGTCAGAAGACACGAGACAACCATGTGTAGGTGTCACTACAGCTCCATGGGCAATTATGATCTCTGCTGAAGATCCAAATCCTGACTCTGCCTCAGACACCCATGGATGTCACTCTGCAGAGGCCCTCTCTAGAACCTGAACCCCAGAGAAAGTGCAGCTCCCACAGACTCCTGGTGCTGGGGAGAGCTATATTGATTGATATTGATATTGATATATATGTATTGATGATCTATACTGATGATGAAGCACGTGTTCCTCTGCTGCAGGGAAGTGTCCCTCCACCCTCCCTGCACTGCCAGTGCCTCTGGGGAGCCTGCTGTATTGCCCTGGCTTAATAAAAGGCTCTCAGCCTGCAAAGCAATCCATATTAAACATCCCACAGGAAGTTTCTGAGCTCCATGCAGCACCATTTGCTTCTTACCACTGGAAACTGCTCTTTAAAAGTGGAGCCTGCCAAAAATGAACTTGCGAGGGAAAAAAATCAGATGTGAAGAACTTCTAAATTTTACCTTGTAAGCTTGGAAAGAAAAGGCTCAGTAGAGGAAATAATAACTAATAAAGGTGTTTTCTGATGGAATGCTCAAGTGGCAGTCTTGATAATCAGTGCAGGACTAGTTCCTGAATGAAGGCTGCAGAGAAGACTAAAAGGTTTCTTTCTTCCTATTTTCATGCAAATTCCGAAATGTTGCAGAAGTTCTGATACTAACACAAAGAAGTTCTGATACACAAAGAAGTTCTGACACTAACAGGACTGATTTTGCTTGCCTGGCTCTGTAAATCCACACATCTCTAAGGGCTCCCCCTCTCCCTGTGCAGCTGGTTGACGAGAGGGAGTTCTTTGAGGTGATGCCCTCCTACGCCAGGAACATCGTCGTGGGCTTTGCCAGGATGAACGGACGAACTGTTGGCATAGTGGGCAACCAACCCAAAGTGGCATCAGGTGAGAGCTGGCTCCACCAGTCCAGTGTGAAACTCTAGCAGTGCTTGTGCCTCTTCTCTGTGCTATTTCTTCCTGCTTTGTAAGGCTATCTGGCCATGAGATTAACTGGTTTTGTTTTGTGTTTTTCCCACTATGTTTTTTGACCACTTTCTTTGCCTTGAATCTCACTGTACTGCAGCTGTGAGCAAAGCTTACTGGAAACCAGTTAATTTCTGTAGTGGATCCACAAGGTGATCTTGCTCCCAGGAAAGTAAACGACTGCTGTGTCCAGACAAGAGGAGTGGGAGCACCTAAGACCACCACGTATTTGGCAGCAGTCTGCCATTAACTGATTTAAGCATCACATGGACACTGCATACAGAATTCCACAGTATTAAAATGCCTAAAATTCTTATGTAGGGTGAGGTAACAACTTCTTGTCACCTTGCTATAGCAAGAACAATGCAAAGGGTCCAGACGTACAAGTGTGGGGCTCTTGACCTCAAATAATCCAGATATGATGGCACAACATGTGAGTAGAGCTACTGTGGAGGGGCTTTGCTCTCTCTCCTTAACTAGGTGACTTCTGAAGTGGCTTTCACCAAGCAGAACTTTGTGTTCCTTCTTGGTTGTAATTTTTGTGCCTTTTTGTTTGGGAAAATCAGATGCCCCAGCATCATGTTTTATTATTTGTAATCTTTACCAAGATATTAAACAGTCTGCAGGTTTTTAACATTACTTCAGTCTTCATTTGACATTCTCCATTTTAACAAAGATCTTTGATGTTTCACACAGATGCTTTTATACAAAGTGTGTTTCAGCTTGATGCAACAGGACATAATACAATTCTAAATGGCACTGGAACTGAACAGAAACACTGCAGCATGGTTACCAAAAATGCTGATCTTTCTCTAGGCATTAGCTGCCCTTTTAATTGTTTGTTTGTTGTTAATAGAGAACTCTGTAGCCTTTCAGTCTGACCCAGCTGAAAAATATCAATAAAGAGAGAATTTCAGACAAATATGTGACATGACAGGAATAGGATTAATTTGAACTGATACTTTATTAGGACAGAGACTGAGTGTGGCAGTCAGTGAGTGCTTGTTAAGTCTAGTTTGTACTCTAATCTCAGGTCTAAACCAGCAAAACACTACCTCCATGTTCTCTACAGGTCAGATTTTGATTTGAGACAGTGGAGCTGAAACAGGGAGTGATTCTGCCTTCCCCTGAATTCCAGCCATGAGCAGGTTGTTAGAATTGTTAACAGCTCACTCTGTTTTCTGCCCTTCAGGGTGCTTGGACATAAACTCTTCTGTGAAAGGAGCGCGCTTCGTTCGCTTCTGTGACGCCTTCAACATCCCACTCATCACTTTCGTGGACGTCCCTGGGTTTCTGCCAGGTATGTCCTGCCTTGCAGGGTGGGGCTGGTGTTACCAACCCATTCACAAACTCTGTGAGAAGACCTGTAGTGCAGTAAAGAATCCAGCAGGTTTTCAAATCCCCCTTTATGGGATAGAAACCGTGTTTAAGTACAGCAGTCAGTCACAGAAGGCTACTGCAACGTGCAAGAAATTGCAGGGACATGAAGTAAGTGCCTGACTGTGCCTCTGATACTGGTATGGGTGTGTCACAGAGCTCTGCTGGACCTTCCTGAGGAGAGGGCCAGTGCCTGCAGTCACTTAATGCAATTGATGTTCAAGTGACCTACCAGGAACTGGGTTGTGAGAGAACATAAACGTTCTGCTGACACACATGCTAGGTCTTTGGCACAGCTGATGGCAAGGGTAATACTGCTCCAGAAACCAAGGTTTACCTCAAGGCTTCTGCAGCTACCAAACCATTAAAATGTCACTGGGCAACATCACAGTTCTTACTTTAATACAATACTTGGTGTGTCTTAATGAGGCAATGCCAAAGGTGTTAACAGAACCTTCCTCCTGCCCTCTCCCTTCTCCACTGCTGCAGACACACCCACCTTGTCTGGTGTGGAGCAAGCAGCAGTTCAGTTCAGAGGCCACCTCAGGAGTCTGATTTGGACAGTTGCTCAGAATCCAAGAACAAAGCTCTTTCATATGCCTGATTTAAAGTAGAAACAATATTGCATAATAGAGCATTGGTTTGGAAGATAAATGAAAGCAGAGAAAGCTAAAGAGAGGAGATCTGAGGCTTGTTAGTGATCCTAAGCTTCTGTATTTTAAGGAGCTTGGCAAGATCAGTACATTAACAGTACAAATTTCATATTAAGTAACAAATTCTGAGGGTGGTGGTCACTTAATCTCCCTGTTCAATGCAGAAGAAAGTCTCACAGAGGGGTACAAACCATCTCCTGGTGTTAGTGACCCAAACACTTCAGGTAGCCCCCAATTTATGAGGTGTGCACAGAGATGGTATTTAAGGCATTCATAACCTGTATCTCAATAAAAACTCCTGTTTAGAACAAGCCTGGGACTGACCATGGCCAGCAGAGAGCCTGTTCATTGCCCATGGCTGGCTGTGTGAGTGGTTCCAGTGACACCTGGATGAGCTTACTGGGAGCACTGGGAGAGCAGCCACCCTGCCCCAAGGGTGAACTGGACCCAGGCTGTGAGGAGGTTACAGGTCCCTGGTGGTCCCAGCTCCTGGGAACAGACATTTCTGAGTGCAGGCATCAACTATTAGCCACTCAAATTACACCTGAGGGGAAGCATTCAAGTCAAGCCATCAAACAGCCTACCAAATAACTTATTTAAAAAGCTCAGAAAAGAATTTTCACTTCAAATCTCACATGAACAAAAATAATGACTTACAGAGGTCTCAGACTACTTTAAGATGTTATCTCAGGTGCTGAAAGCAGAAGCCAGTAGGTGGATAAGCTGCTAGAAAGTAATTGTTCTATCCAATGCTCTGGAATTCAGACATCCCAGCACTAAAGTCCATGGGATGGCTGTTTGCAGCTCAGCCTGTGTTTGGGACAGAGCTGGGCCAGCCATGGACAACCTGCATTCACAGCTGCTGCTTAGGACCAGAGGTACCTGCTGTGGGAATCCTTGTAGAGAGGTTCATGCTCTGTCTTTTGAGGCCCATCATCTTGGGCTTGCTTCCAGGAAGACCAGGATAGGTCTTTGGTGTGGCAGCTGAGCTGCCTTTCATACACCCTAGAGAAAAGGGGTTTGGAAGGGCAGGTTTCTGAGGAAGTGAGTCCAGGTTGTGTTTTTCATTGCTAGCCACTTGAAAATGATGTAACTGTATTTTGTTCCTAGGAAGATACCATCTGGTGAGTATGCTGGTCCTGTGACCTTGTATACAAATACATGCTGCTTTTGGCAAGAGAGGTTTTGGGAGTTGCTCAGTACCTCATGGAGAACTTTGCCTGGCTGTTACCTTCTCCTGGACATTAACGTGTCTCTGGTGGTTGCCTGCTGCTGGGAATGGATGGTGACAATTGCCAAATGGCAGATGGGGCTCTGTGACCTCCCTGGAATGACAAAAAAGAACCTGTCATTTGTAGGTACAGCTCAGGAGTACGGTGGAATCATACGCCACGGCGCAAAGTTACTGTTTGCCTTTGCAGAAGCCACTGTGCCTAAAATCACTGTCATCACCAGAAAGGTGAGTGGGGCCAGCCCCAGGGTGTCCCCCCAGAGAGCCTCCTGTCACCAGGAGCAACCATTTCTGGGCAGCTTTGTCCATCTGGCCTACCTGTGCTTTCTGTCACTGTCACCTCTCTGCTGTCCCACGGGGTAACACCTCTCTGTGTCAGCTGAGGCCATTTCTCCTGTTCTCAGATGATGACCTCAGCTCCTTCCTTCCTTTGCCTTTGCCCTCCTCTGCTCTTTGCCCTCTCCCTGGAGTGCTGTCAGGCAAATGCTTGTCCCCTGTCACCCAGCCTCTCTCACTGGGGACACACCATCTGTGTGCACACAGCAAAGCTTCCTCTGCTCTTCCCACTTCAGTCTCCTCTTCCAAAGCCATTCCTCCTCTCCCATACACACTCTGCTGCCCTCCACTTGTCTTAATTGCTGTTTTCCTGTAAGGTGCCCAACACCACCTTGCTGCCATGAGCTCCAGGGACATTCTGGGTCACTAAAAGGCTTTTTCTCTGCTGGTCTATTTGGTTTTTTTGATAGGTTTTTGCCTTCTGGGAAATAGCTCTGCCTGTGGCAGGGGGGTTGGAACTAGATGATCTTTCAGGTCCCTTCCAACCCTGACAATTCTGATGGAAAAAAAAAAAAAGAAAAAAGATCTTTCCCTCTTTCTCTCCTTTTACCTTCTCTGATCCTCCTGACTATTGCCATCCTTTTCTTGCCAAGCTTGCAGCCTTGCTGGAGTCCCCAGAAATGCCCTGAAGGGGCTGTTCTGCAGCTGGCTCTGTGCTACCTGCCCATCACTGCTCCCTGGAGCACCCCAGTGCAGGGGGGAGCCCTGCAGAGCCCCCGTGCTGCACACCCTGGTCCAGGAGCACACTGACTGCTTTGTCTGGGTGCAGGGTGCAGGCTGAGGCCTGGTGTTCCAGGTACACACCCAGCCCTCTCCTCCTGCCATCAGGAATGGTCTTAGGTGCCAGCAGCCCCCTTCTGGGCTCTTCTGTGGTTCTAGCTGAAGAGCTGTTGTTGTGGTTTGAGGCTTGGAATGGGGTCGTGACCTTCCAGCAACTGGGAGGACCCCGGGTGGGGGTGAAACCATTGTATTCCCTCCCCTTCCCACACACACTCTGATAAGAGGCAGGGAGTGGTTTCTTGTTTCACTCCTGCCTTGGAGCTCGGAGAGGAAAGTTCTCCTTTCACTCCGTGGGACCCTGGAACCATTTCTGAGGGTTTTGTATATTTTATCTTTTGTATTATTCCCCTGATCTTTATATATATTATTTTCCTTACCTCCCTTTTTCGTTTTCTGTTCCTTGTTGAACAATATACTTCATTTTTTTTAAAAAGTGTCTCTCTCTCTCTCTCAAGGGGGTGGGGGAGAGGCGAGTACATAGTTCTGTTCCGTGTGGGTCCTGCCCTGAACCCCTTTTTACACGGAACCAGGACAGCTGTCTACTCTTAGGAGATTGTTGTAGCACAAAGGAGATGCTCCTGCTCTCCTCCAGGTAAAATCTGGCCCCACTTGCTTGTCCTTGGCACAGCAAAGGCTGCAGGAGGAGTGCAGGCTGTGAGGCTGCTCTGTGCTGAGCCTGGGTTCTGCTGCAGGCCTACGGGGGTGCCTACGACGTGATGAGCTCCAAGCACCTGAGGGGAGACGTGAACTACGCCTGGCCCACGGCAGAGGTGGCAGTCATGGGTGCCAAGGTAGGAGTGGCACCCCGAGTGGCACAGGGGAGGCCTCCCACATGGACCCTGCTGGCCTTGCAGGGCTGTGTGCTGTGGTGGGGGGCTGGGAGAGCAGAGAGCTTTCCTCTGCCACTGACCTGCAGGCTCTGTCTCTGCAGGGTGCCGTCCAGATCATTTTCAGAGGGAAGGAGGCTGATGCAGAGGCAGAATACGTGGAGAAGTTTGCAAACCCCTTTCCTGCAGCCATGAGGGGTAGGAGTGTCTCACACCTTGTGTCCCCCCTTCAGGTTTCCCATTGCATGTAGATTAAGTTGTAGCTATTGAGTAAACTTTTTGCTAATTAATAAGTTATTTAGGCAAAACGTTTTTTCTCTGGGTCAGAAAGGTGATGTTTAACCACAGCTTGTGCACGTGAAGGAAAAATACATCTAGATGCAAAAGACATCCTCAGAAAGAGGCTGGTGAGATGCAGGAACTGCACTGAAAAGGATATTTTCAGTTTTCTAGGTATTAGAAAGCACTTCAGCCCCCAGCCTCTTCCTTAGAAGTACAGGTGCTGTGACAGTCTTTGGCAATCCTAGATGCAGACCAGTGGCCTTAAGAAAGAGTCAGAGTCCAGTTCAGTGATGTTCCCATGGACACTCTGGAGTGAATGCTCCAACTGTTCTGAATTTTACTTGTAGCTTTGCAGCACTAACTAGGCTCTAGAAGGCAGCTCTGCAGGCTGCTCACTCTGCTGATAGGTTTTGTACTTCACTTAAATCCCCTTCATAGTGCCACAGAGTGGGTAAGAGTGAGTCAGCCAGGCTGCCTTGCTGTGGCCAGCATGCCCAGTCGTGCTCCCTCTGCTTTTGCAGTGGAGGATCTATCACTGCTGTTTGAGCAAGAAAAGCTCAGGCCCCTGAACATACAAGTCAAGGGGTGTCTCTTCTCATCAACCCTTCTGAACCCTTAGATCAGAGCAATAGTAGAGGGAAGGAGCTGGTATGTCTAGAACTTTGCAGTAACAGGTGCAGTACTCAGTGAGTAAAGCTCCTTTAACATTTTTTGGCTTTTAAAAAAGCAAATGTTTCTAATTTAAAAACTACACAGGAATATTCCCTTTTCAGGCTATTTTAAATCATTTTCTTAAGCTAAAAACTAACTCATGAACTGTGTATTCCAAATGTTGTTTTGACTTTGCTAATTTCCATTGCAGCCTGGAGACAGGAGGTGAGAGGTGACTGCTGTGTGGTTGGTTAGTTGGTGTTTTGTTGTTGTTCTTTGCAGGGTTTGTTGATGATATCATCCAACCTTCCACCACGCGCCTGCGCATCTGCCAGGACCTGGATGTGCTGGCCAGTAAAACCCAGAGCAGCCCCTGGAAGAAACATGCCAACATCCCCCTCTGAGTGTGAGGGGCCTGGCCCTGCTGGAGGTTCTGAACACAAGGACTCTGTGAAGTGGAGCTCTGCTTTGCAACTAAATAATCACTTTGATTTTGCTAATGACCACCAATAAATGGTACTAGATCTCTCCTCTAATCTGTGCTCTTACCAGCTCATCTCTATGAACCCCTTTTGGTGGGTTAATAATCAACACAACCTGCAGTGTCTGCTGCTCACAACCTGTTCCTCATGGCTCAAGGTCAGATGCTCCCTTGGCTCCATTCTGCAGGCCCTGGGACAGGCAGAGCTGCAGTGACCTCCCACTGCTGACAGGTCAGACCCCTGTGGAGTTCAAGTCTAGCCCTGAGCCCTCCTGTGGAGTCTGACTCTGCTTCCTGCACCACAGACTCACAGGGAGAAGCAGCCTGAGCTTGGATTTTAGTGTCCTGGAATCCAGGCTTTGCTGATCTCAGCCTAACCTGTTCTGCTCTCTGCCAGACTCTCCTGAGTTGCAGCTTCTAAGTGCTGGCTGCAGCAACACTGGGTCTCAGGTGGGTACCAGGGACCTCCAGGCTGTGAGCACAGGTGGAGCAGAGAAGATGGAGCCACCCTCCTCTTGAAGGACACGTGCCCAAATGGGAAAAAGGGCAGTTCTGGTGGGACCTAAAAATTCTCCTCCCTGAGCCTGGCCCTTTTCTCCCTCAGCTGATGGTTGAGGTGGAGAGCTCCAGAGACCTCTTCCAGCCTAATTTTTTTCTGTATTTTTTTTGCCAGACTTGGAAGGACTCGGCACACTGGATGTTGCTGATCAGCCCTGAGCTGATTCTGCTCATTACAAGTTGTATTTAAACCAGAGCCCCAGACAGCAGTGAGTAACTGCTGATCTAAATCACTTTGTGTTTAGCACTTCTGCAAACAGCTGCCAAGCACATCAAGCCCTGCAGTGCTCTGTCTGCTGTAAGTAAGCTCAGTAATTAATGGCACTATATGTAAGACAGAGGACAACCATACCTGCACACTGCAGCTGCCTCTGCTTGCTCCTCAAGCATGTGCCTGAAGTGGAAGATACAAGATGGTGACTTCCCAGGCAGGATCTCTTCCCAGGCAGGATCTCTTCCCAGGTGGGTGCAGCTGGTGCTGTAGTGAGTACAGCCATGGTGCTTGGAGCCTGGACCTGGAGAATGGGGAAGGCAAGAACTAAAAATCATCTGGGAACAGTACAGGAGTGTTTCCAAGGGAGTCCCAGCCCCACAGGTTTCTGTAACAGCCAGAGCATCCAGGTTACAGACACGTGTGTGTCCTGGCTGCAAACACATTGCAGTTTGCTGCCTGGAGGTACCTGGTTGTTTCTCAGCAGGTCCCTGCAGGTGCTGCCCCAGGGAACAGAGCTGGCTGCAACACCAAGGGAAGGCCACCAAGTTGGGGGTCAGTGCCACCAAGTGAGTTCTTAGTTAACTGTGAGAAAAGACATAGTCAGAGTTTGTAAAGAAAGACCAAGAGGATTTTTCAAAGGTAATTAGTGGCTGAGAGGGTGGCTGGTGGCTGTCCCAGGAGTAGAGTCAAAAGCTGTGCTTGAGCCTCCCCACAGTCTGAAGGAGCCACTGAATGAGAAACCAAATCATCATTGTCATGAAGAAAGTACAACCTTTCTTCACTGGTTCCTAACCTCTTTAGTTCTGCAGGTTTCCTCCTCTCTCCTGTCCCTTGCCAGCACATGAGTCTGGTGTTTACACCCCTGGTTTCCAAGCAGTCAGTTGCTCCACCAGCACAGCACTTTGGAAGCTGCTCTGGCCACACTGCCCAAGATACTCTTGAATTCCAGTCACCTGCAGAAACAGCAGATAGGAAATTAAACCCTTTCAACAGAGAGCTACCCTTGAACAAACATGACAAGTTACTTACTGTGTTCCACAGTGCATCAGCAGCTGATCATAACGTGCAAGCAGCTGGTGATCTCCTGCTCAGACTGTCTCTGCATAGTCCTAGAGTGCAGTTCAGAGCTTGAATCCCATCCCTGGTCCTCACCTGCTGCATCTCCTTGCTTCTTCAGACTCAGATGGTTTTCCTTTAGGAGCTGGGCCAGGTGACAAGTCAGTTTTCTTCAGTGCTACAGAGATGAAGTCATTGCCAGGCTGGATGAAAACATCACCTTTCTCTTGAGACATGGGAGTGAGAAGAGGACATTTCATCTCAGGATCTGTAAAGCTTCACTTAGCCCAGCTGGTCACTACACCTTCCAAGCCTTTTTTACCACTTCCATTTCTTCCCACGTGGTCCAGTTCACTCCAGACGTAGAAGGCAGGAGACTGAATCTTTTTTTCCTTAAAATTTGTGACAGTTCAAACAATTCTAAGTTTTAACAACACATCTCTCCTGGCTGGCGTGATGCCTTACCAGCTGTACAGCCATCTCACCATAAACCTCCCCACATCAGCCAGAACCCCAAAATACACCACAGTGGAGAGGAAAAAAAACACCCACAAGGAAAAGAGCAGAGAGGGTTTTCCTTGGCTCTGAGGCTGAATGGGGAAGGCAGCTGGAGGGGATCTGGTGGTGAGCCCTGGGCTACATGGGAACTACCTTTCAGCACTTCCTTTGGCTGCTAGCAAATGGGATGAGAAGATGTGATGGTCCAAACGAGCATCTAAAAGAAAGTTATAGTGAAGAGGGTGCTCATCATACTCATGATTTTGAATAGTTTATTAAATGAAAGGTGAAGCATCAGTTTTAAATTGTACAAAAGGAAAAAAAAAAAAAAACAAAAAACCCTCATATTGTAAATGTACAATTTACAGAATTACTAGCAAAACCAATCAAGGAGACACTCATAATACAAAAAAACCTATTGACTGCAAACTGAACTGGAAACCCATTGCAGGTACCGTGAGAGTAAATGTTTGTTATACAGTATTCTACAATGTTAAATTAGGAATCAGTTTTCCACACAGAGGACTGTGAAGCACAAGGTTTGTCTGAGGCTATGACTCAAACCAGGCAGCATTTATTATGCTACGATGCTCACAGAATTACTGTGATGACAATTTAATGCAGCCATTCCTGCCCAACCCCTCTGATTTCTGGGGTGGGCAGAGGAGGAAAGGAGGTAAATCTGATAAAGTTCCAGCTGCTTCTCACTTTTTATACGTACCCCCCCCTAAAATCTGAGGAATGGCTGAATTACCTGGTCAAACATTTTTGGCAACCGTGTCTGAGAACTGCACGTGTGGTAAGAAACAAACCTCAGCTGGGTGAAATGCTGGTTTGTTTTTTTAAATCAGGTTCTTTTCCCTCGCTGGGCATTGATGTTTTGTTTTTCAATAAGCTCCTACACAGGAAAAAAAAAGCTCCATGATTATTTTGTATTTGCTAAGAAAAGCACCTCTAAAAACTGCAGTGCTCCAAGGGGGTCAATCTGTTTTGTCTCTCAAATGCTGACATTAGAATGCAGAAGGGAAGATTAACATTGTGGGGCTGATTCTCACTAGAGTCAGTGCAAGTTGTGGATGGCCAGCACCTCTGCTATCAGGCCAGTTTCAACTAAGTAGCAGCTACTAGGCAGAGTCATAAAAATTGAAGCATAATGAAATTCCAAATTATTGAAGACATTGAAAAATCTCCTATGACAATGAACTAGCTGAGAATGTTTTGGGTTTTTTTTTTGATTTTTTTTTTTGGCTGTTTTTAACTTTTCTGAAAAATCATATTTTTTTCTTCCCAAAGAATTACTCTTAATATGCACAGTTAACACTGAAAATGTAGCTGTATTCCATTGTAAGCTTAAGAACTTCACCATCTAAGCACAAATCTCTATGCAGCACATACAGTACTTCTAACTGGCAAAATTAATTTACAAAAATAGCGCAAAAGGGTATTTATGGCATGGAAAGTAGACTTCTGGTTTTTTATGGTACAGTTAAAATTGCTTTTAGGATGCTAAAGTGATTCCTTTCCCCCACCCTTGAATTATTTATTTTTTAATAGGAAAGTTGCTGTTTATGTACCTTGGGTTGGCAGGGCTTGAAGTAGGTAGTAAAAACAGCAAAGTGATTACTTGAGAACCATTTGTGTGTTTTACTGAGAATACTTTATTTGCTGGTATAAGTTGCTAAAAATGCACAGAGCAAGTACCAATAGAAAATTTACTGTTTTTGTGTCCCCATGTGCTATATAAAATGAATGTTACACAGCATCTGTTGGAAAAGTGGCTTCATGGACATCTCTTACTTTATGTCCCATTATAAATAAAAATAAATCTTCTCAAGAGTATAAAATCTGGGTTTATCATATCAGAATCTGAAATTTTTTGGCAGAGATGCACGTCATTAGAATTCTAACCTCTTCTAGAAGAGTGTTCTTCTCAATGCCTATGAGAGGATATAAGCGTACCATAATGTTAATCAAATCCAGTGTGTTCAAAAACACTTTTCTGTAGCCAGAATGACCTGCTTATAGCATCATTGCTAGTCAATGGCTGATAGGCATAGGTTTAATAAAAATGGCTAGCTCTTAAAACATAAAAAGGCAAATGTTAAAACTGTTTTAAATTGTACAGCAGAAAAATAAAGTTAAAAAGTTCTGTTTTCACTCAAGGTTGTTTTCAGAAAACATATGTAGAACAGTGTTTATTTTGACAGCTGTCTTAACAATTTAAAACTTCCTCCTCATCCAGGAAAAGAAAAAAAAAAACAACCAAACTGTATTAGGACAGTCAAGAACAGGGATACAAATGATTTTTTAGGTCAGCCCTTCTGAGGTGACTGGATTGGCCAACATTCCTTTGTGTCATTAGGAAGTTCCTCTTCTTTCTGTCACTACAAAAAGGGATTGACCTCAATCATTTGGTTAAAAATCAAACCGTATCACATCAAAAATGTGGTTTTTCATACAAGCTATCACAGTATATAGGCCTCTAGCTCTAAACAATAGAGTTCCAAATTTGTAAAACGTCTTCCCCAGACTTCAGAACATAGGCATTCCAAATCCCTGCGAAGAGAAGGGGAGAGACAGGGATTAGGTGCGGTGGCGATGCCAGGGAGCCCCGGAGGGGGAG